TTTGGGGGGACATAGGTGCATGTTTGTTGAGGGGAGGGAGGACTCCAGGTGAGGGGTGGAGGAGAGACTGAGGATGCTCTTGGGAACATTAGGTGGGAAGGGTCTTTGGTGGTGTGCAGAGGGTGGGCAGAAATGACCTAGGGCATCTAGGGGTCTCCCAGGAACCCAGGCTGGGTGCCATAGAGCCGGGTGCTGTACAGCACTGGGTTACTGACTTCTGGAACTTCAGGGTGAACGGTAAGATCCAGAAGCTGCATCGGTGAAACCCCATACGGCAGCTGTCCTCCACCTGTGGGTTGCAATCCCTTAGGGGGTCGAACGACCCTTTCACAGGGATTGCCCGATTCATAACAGTAGCAAAATTACAGTTAAGAAGTAGCAACAAAAATAATTTTATGGTTGGGGTGGGGGGGGGCGACCTGCAACATAAAGAACTGTATGAAAGGGTCTCAGCATTAGGGAGGTTGAGAACCACTGCCATACGGGAAGCCCACTGGGTAAGCTGGACACTTGCTACCTCACAAACACGAGTAATCTGAGGACTTAGATTGGAACGCACATGGTGTCTGAGAAAGCAGAAGACTGCTATATTGAGCGCGATGTACTTTGGTTGGTCGTGCACGTCAATGCCCTGCCTGCCGTGTTAAGAGACACATTGTTCTCTCAGGGTTCCCGTGATGGCTATTCTGTTACATTCTGCTTATGCTTGTGCGTGAGGGGTAGCTCAGAGGAGCGCCGCCCTGGGGAACACCCTCTTGAACCTGTGTCATTTGTTTCTCTGTTTCTCGGTAACTGAAACCCAGGGACATTGAGACTATAGGGAAAGAAAATATAATACCAAGGGTTTGAGGGGGGGGGTGGTGTCAAAATAGAGGGCTGGGGAAGATAAGAAGGAGATGACGTCAAGAAGCCCAGGAAGGAAAAGTATGTTTGGAGACTGATTATGGAAGCAACTGTACAATTATGTTTGACAAGATTGAACTATGACATGAGATGACACATGTATCAATCCCCACGTCATAGCAAGTTAAAAAGCAGCAGCAGCAGCATAGATCCAGAAATGAGTTCTGGGCTCACACTAAATCCTAGCTCCAACCTAACAACAATTAGTTCTTCCAGCATGAGTATCTGCTCAATACTCACTATCAGGAAATGATCACTGAAGATTAGGGTGGGGCAGCAAAGTGTGGTGAAGAAAGTAGATGGAATAGTGGTGTCTGGGGTCTTAAAGGCTTGTAATCAAACATGCAGTCATCTAAGCGAGGAGTCATCTAAGCCCACAGAGAAGAAGCACACCAACTTGTGTGATCCAATGGTGACAATTACAAAATTTGAATATGGTGAAGAGAAAAGTATCAGGGCTAGAATGATGAACACCCCATTTGTGGAAGGCTGTGGAGGACAGTGGGAGCCCCAAACCCAGCTACAGAGGATCTAGTCAGACCTAGCCACTGGCAGATACACTTTAGCCAAGGGCAAGAGTCCTGGACGAACAGCCTTACTATCAGGCAGAGACCATGGTAATCTTGATTATGCTGAATCCACCATGGTACTTGGCCGGTTGGGCTCCCTAAAGACATGACCTAAAATTGTTCTGGGTGCCAGTATATCTTAGTTGTCCCATGACAGAAATTTCTTCCCTGGCTCTCTGAATGTTGATATGGGTCTTCTCCCTCTTAAGGCATCATTTGTATTTTTGCCTTTATACTAATATGATCTTATCCTTACCACCTTAGTATGATTTGTTTTTCATTGTTTTCTGTTGGGTTTCCCAGTAGTGAAGCACAGGAGGAGTGGATGTATAATGATAATAACTGATACAGGTGTTATGAGGAATGCAGGGGTGGTAGATGGGCGATAGGGAGGGAAAGGGATTTCAGACATAAATAATGAGGGCACGAAGGGGTGTGTGGAATACTAGAACTGATCGTGATTGCACAACTCATATTGATGACAATTTAACCACGGGATGCAGGTGGGGGGGGATGCTCTAAGATAGATGGGGTGGTGATTGTACAATTCTCCTTGATATGATTGAACAATTGAACTACTCAATTGTATGATATGTAAACGATGTGCCAATAAAACTATTGGGAGATAAAAAAAGGAGAGAAACACCTCCTGTTGGAAGAACATGGAATCACATAGGAAGTGAGGCATCCCCTGACTGTCCTCCAAATCGCTACTGAAGTTGATCACATCTCTAGATCCAGACAGCAATGTCCAAGAACGACTGGGGAACCTGTGAACTGCCCCCCAATGACCACGGTACAGGCTGCGGGGAACTCTTCTGTATGAATGACAAATGTCAAGGGGTGATGGTTATGGGGTGTGTTAGTCTGGGTAAACCAGAGAAACAAATCCACAGAAACTCATACGTATATAAGAGAGAGTTTTATATAAAGGGTATGTGTACATTCAGAAAGCATCCCAACCCAGTGTTGTCTAAGCCCATAAGTCCAACACTAGCCCGTGTCCAAATACCGATCTACAAAGTCCTCCTTAATCTCACAAAACACACACAAGGATGCCCACTGCAGGAGGAAAGCGGAATCAGTGAGTGTGTAAGCATCTCAGTACTGACAGAGGTCTCCACACGGCTGCTCCAGCACCCAGGGATGCATAGGAGTAGGTCCATGTGGCTTCTCCTCAGGGATGTCTTTACAGGAAGTGAGCCTTGCCAGCTGAAGCAGGGAACTGGCTAAGGCAGCTGCACCCTGGTTCGACTATCAGAAAGCAAGAGACCCAAGAACTAGAAAGGCGAGGCTCACTGAGCCATTTATCTCTCCACCTTTCAATTAATCCCACATGTGTTTATTGGCCACGATGGCACAGTAAACCTTAACTATCTCGTGGGGGAAGTCAAGACAGGAGGCCCTGCGTGATGCAGATGGGTCACAGGTCGGCTGCTGACTGAAAGGTAGGAGGTTCAAGTCCACCCCAAGAAGAGTGCATGTAACAGAGTGACCTCCTCTGAAAGGCAGTTGGTGAAAACCCTACCCAGCAATACTTGAACAATTCAGACACACAGGGCTCAGCATGACCATGACAGGATCGACTCCACGGCCACTGGTTTTGTGTTTGTTTGCTGGCTTGTAGTCGGGGGAAACATCAGCTGAGCACAATCTGCGGACCTTCACCAGACCCTGATACACACACACACACACACACACACACACACACACACACACAGCATGCAATATTCATGAGAAGACTGGGAGTTTGAACACGGAAGACCATTTGATGACATCATTCAGCTGTGATCATGGGAGTACGGTTATTTTAAATGAAGGAGCACTTTGTGTACAGCAGGGGAGCCCCGCAGTCACAGTGGTTACGAGTCGGGCAGCTAACCATAAGTTTGAAGCCCCAGCTGCTCCTCCAAAGATGGGCTTTCTACTCCCGCAAACAGTTCCAGTCTCGGAAACCCCCAGGGGGCAGTTCTGCCCTGTCCTATAGGGTCACTATGGTTGGCATTGACTCAATGGCAGTGAGGGGTTTTTGGTTTTCTGAGCATAGGAATATATTCCGAATGGGCACAGGTGGAGGAATGCAGTCTGAGATCTGCGCCCGGCGTGGCTAGAGGGGATGAGGTGGTTGGGGGTGGCAGGTGGGGGGCAAGGATGAATGAAGCAAGATTAGCCACCAGTTCGAGATTACTGAAGCTTGGGGAAGGGTGTGTGGGGCTATTCTTTTTTATAGTTTGGAATTTTCCATAATAAAGTTATAAAAATACTGGGTTCCACCCCCAGAGGGTCAAAATAATTAGTCTGGGCTTCAACTCAGACACTGCTTTTTTTTTTAAAAAAGACTCTCAAGGTACTTCTAATGCTTGGCCAAGGGTGAGAATGTTTGTAAATCGCTGGCACAGGAGGTGCCGGGCGCCTGAGCTAAGACCCAGGCAGAGATTCTGGAGAGAAGGGGATTGACTGGTCTAGGAGAGGTCAAGGAGCCAGACTGACCAGATGTGCTGGGTGTGTCAGGGGAAGAGGGTGGAGTCAAGGGCAAAGCCAGAGCTGGTAGCTGTGGGCTTCGTCACTGTAGCAGGGAATAGCCAGGGCTGGTAGCTTTGGGAGGTGGGGAGCGGTGGGGGAGGGGGCGCCTGGGTTTCTTTTCTACCGGTGACTTCAAGGGGCCTGTGTGATTTCTGGAGGAGACGCCCAACAGGCAGATGGCCTGTGGTGACAGAGACCCAAGGGGACACAAGCAGCTCAAGCTACACGTGCGACCCCCCGACTCAGGCAGGTTTCAGCCCAGCTGCAGCCCACTAGGCCTTCAAGGCTTCAAGCAGACAGCAGCATCTTGACCCTGCCCAGGAGGGAGGTGATCTGGGTGACCCCAGCCCATCACTCCGGGTGGGTCTTCATTACTTGCCTCCTTACCTCTGGTCCACTCCTCGGATGGGAACCCAACGGGCAGTGAGCAATATTAGGGACTCTTAATATTCCCATACTCTGCCTGATGCCAACTAGCATTTGCTAAACAAATGAATGGCCAAGAGTCTCAGAAGGTCTTCACTCTGGGTAGGGCCAGCGGTCAATGGACTGGCCGGGCGGAAGCAGCCCCCACATGGTCTGAGGGCCTGACTGGGCTCTGCTATGTGCTGGGCAGTGAACAGGAGGAGACTCTCAGGAAGCTTGCCTTTCTACTGCGAGACAGAGAGCAAGCAAGTCTGCAAACACACCCCTAGCTTTGGAATTTTATGCACCAAGTTCTCCACTGGGGGAAGGGACAACCGAATCCACATGCTACTGGTGTATTAGGGAAACTGCACCATGTTCTCAGGCATTGCCTCGAACCAGAACCCAGGCTCTGGGCTGGGAGAGATATAACCACGGCCCAGTGGGGGAGGTGGCCTGTCTGTCATCGCAAGTTCAGATGCAAGTCTGTGTTCTCAGGCTGCCCTGGGAGATTCTGAAGGAATGCATCTTTTCTTGTGGGGAATATACAGCTGCTGGTCTCAGAGGGCCGAGGGGTGCCTCCTCAGAACAGGCACTTACCACCGAGTCGAGGAAGTGGATATAACACTCCAGCCCAGGTCTGGTCTCGCAGAACTGCCGGAAAAGCAGCCTCCCGATTGGCTGCTTGTCACACAGGCTGCAGTAATCTCTGTCTGGAGAGAAGAACAGAAGCCGGCAGTGAGACCCCGGGGAGGTACATACCAGGAACCTGGCCCAAGAGGTGAAGCAAGGTGCCAGCCAACTCCCAGGGACCCTCATTCACCTCAGAGGCTCTGTGGACTTCGAGGAGACAAGCCAGTGCAGGGGAAGGCTCCTGTCACCTCCTAGTGCTCACACCCAGCCCATCCTCCCTTCCCAACATGCTGATTTCCATTTGGAGATGCTAGCTGCTCTGGGGCTATGACTGGGCCCCCTGCCCAGCCAGCCACAGGGGAGTTTTCAGCAGAACTTCCAGATTAAGACAGACTAGAATGAAAGGAGATCTGCTTCCACAACTAGCCAATGAAGACTCTACGGAGCACAGAACACTGCCTGAGACGGACACATGGTCAGGATGGACCCGTCGCTGAATGACGACATGGTGTTTGGAGAAGGGGTGGGTCGGCAGGGGTGGGGAAATCCTCAAGGAGATGAGTTGATACAATGGCACCAACGAACTCAAGCTTACAAACGCTTGGGAAGGGCGGTGTTTCCTTCTGTTGAACACAAGGTTGCTGACGGATAGGCACGAACAGCAGCCACGGCGAGGGGTACATCCCACCAGTGAGCATGGTCTGCCCGGTCCACTGAGGCAGAGGTGCTCTCGTGCTCTGGATGGTGGATGGGCGAGTTGAGGCCAGGGTCTGGGGAAGTATCCTCTACTGGGTAGCAGGAAGCTGCTCTGGAGATGGCCTGGCACATGGAGGACCAGGCCTGGGAAGGTTGCAAATGGTGAAGCTAGTGCTACGGTGACCCCATGAATTGCTGGATCCAGCCATGCCTGCAGCCCAACTAACATAAAGAAGCATACTGATAGGGCAGCACCAGTCCTGTTTTTACTTCAAACAGTGAGTTGGGTGTGTGTGTGTGTGTTTTAACTACTTGTAATTCCAAATATCCTAATGCAGTGGTTCTCAACCTGTGTGTGTGTGTGTGTGTGTGTTTTAACTACTTGTAATTCCAAATATCCTAATGCAGTGGTTCTCAACCTGTGGGTCACGACCCCTTTGGGGGGTGGATGACCCTTTCACAGGGGTCATCCACCCCCCAAAGGGATTCATAGCAATAGCAAAATTATAGTTAGGAAGTAATAACAAAAGTAATTTTATGGTTGGGGGAGGGGTGTCACCACAATATGAGGAACTGTATTAAAGGGTCGAGGCATTAAGAAAGTTGAGAACCACTGTCCTAATGGATGCTTTGGCCCAATCTGAGCAAATCCCATCAGCCTAGGCATGCCTCCAGTGATGAGGACCCAGCATTTTCAAGCTAAGGCTCTGAATGGGCTCTAGACCTGGGCCCTGGGCTCCTCTGGCTTGCCGCTGTAGGCAGGTGGGACAGTTTGGGAGTCCAGGTCTCTCCTTGTAGGGGTAAACTGGTCAAGGGACCATTTTTCTATTTTTTTAAATCATTTTATTAGGGGCTCATACAACTCTTATCATGATCCATATATACATCAATTGTATAAAGCACATTTGTACATTCATTGCCCTCATATTTTTCTATTTTAATGGGACCACAGTTCTTAGTACAACAGGGCTTCGGAAAGTTTGTGGGAAAATTCAATGATCTTTTCATCCCATTTCCGTCCCCCACACACACTTTTCAAAGCTGTCTCACATAAGAAGATCGATCGAAACTAGTTGATACGATCCCCAGTGGAAACTCGGATCACTATCTACCTATCAACTCCGTGGTAACTGGCTCAGCCCCTCTCTTTGCCCCTGCTCAGAGGCTGGCCTTGGGTGATTATCTGGACTCCTCGACCCTCTCCGTGCACAGACGGTATGGGGCTGGTCACTCAGACAAGCTTCATTTAAGCTGTCTACGTGTGTGCCAGGTCCTGAGGGGCCACGGGGGTGGGGGAGTGGGGGTGGCAATAGGACATGTTTCCAGCCCTCAGGGAGCCTGGGCCCTGTTGGAAAGGGCAGCAGGGATATGTGGGGGTGAGCAGACGAGAGCTCAAGTGCCAGGAATAAAAGGTCACGTCCAAGTGTGATTGTCAGCCTCCACGGGAGGCTGGGCAGGAGGAAGCAGAGGGCGGCAGGTCTCGGTGGCGTGTGACAGGCTGGACCGTGCACCTGTTAGCACCATGTTCTCACTGCCTCCCCCTCAGCCTGCCCCCCACAGGGAGAAAGCCAGCCTCCTTCTCCTTTCCCAGGCAGACCCTGGACCCTGGAACCGCTGTGCAGCCAACGCCAACTCTGTTCTTCATGGGAGACCTTGGAAAGAGGGATCAAGTCCCACAGGCAGGAAGGCAATTTCATGTCAAAAACTGATTCCTGAAGGGTTCATCTACAGGAGTGGAGGGGGGCCTTCCCCTGCCCCATCTCCATCTGGCAACACTTGCTGTCAGTCTAGAAACAAGGTGGCTATCAACGCACTCAGCACAGTGATCCCCACGTGATCCCGACTCAAGCTGTCAGCAGCAGGGCGTCCAGGGGTCCACAGGGTCCCAGAGAAGACCGCTTCCCACTGGACGCCCAGCAGAAGCCAAGGACCAGTCATCAGCTATCCAGTCTTTCCTCAAAACAGACTGAACGGACCCATTTTCTTTTTTAAAAATTTTCCGAATAAACTTTATTAATAATACTACCATTTTACTATAAGCAACTTGGAAAAGACACACAGGAGAATTTTACTTAGAAATCCCATTACTTAAAGAAATTTCTCTTAAAATCTTGATTTCCCTGCTTCCAAATGTTCACACTTTTGTTTTTGTTTTTAAATCATTTTTTGGGGGGGCCTCATACAACTCTTATCACAATCCATACATTCATTCATTGTGTCAAGCACATTTGTTGCCATTATCATTCTCAAAACATTCTTTCTACTTGAGTCCTCGATATCAGTTCCTCATTTCCCCTCCCTCCCTGCTCCCCCACCCTCTCTCATGAACCCCTGATAATTTATAAATTATTATTTTGTCATGTTTCACACTGTCTGATGTCTCCCTTCACCCACTTTTCTACTGTCTGCCCCCCAGGGAGAGGGTTATATGTCGATCATTGTGATCGGTTCCCCCTTTCTACCCCACTTTCCCCTTCCCCTCCTGGTATCACTACTCGCATTATTGGTCCTGAGGGGTTTATCTGTCCGGGACTCCATGTGTTTCCAGTTCTTATCTGTACCAGTGTACAGCCTCTGGTCTAGCTAGATTTGTAAGGTAGAATTGGGATCATAATAGTGGTGGGGAGGAAGCATTAAAGAGCTAGGGAATGCTGTATGTTTCATTGCTGCTACACTATGCCCTGACTGGCTCGTGTCCTCCCCACAACCCTTCTGTAAGGGAATGTCCAGTTGCCTACAGATGGGCTTTGGCTCTCTACTCTGCACTCCCCCTCATTCATAATGATATGGTTTTTCATGCGTTGATGCCTGATACCTAATCCTTTAGACACCTCGTGATCACACAGGCTGGTGTGCTTCTTCCATGTGGACTTTGCTGCTTCTCAGCTAGAGGGCTGCTTGTTTATCTTCCAGCCTTTAAGACCCCAGACACTATAGCTTGTGATAGCAGGCACCATCACCTTTCTTCACCATATTTGCTTATGCACCCATTTGTCTTCAGTGATCATGTCCAGAAAGTGAGCATCATGGAATGCTAGGTTACTAGAACAAAGTGTTCTTGCATTGAGGGAGTACTTGAGAAGAGGCTCAATGACTGGACACATTTTCTGAGCAAGCAGCAGAGATGATAACAACACATTGGAGTGCAGCATTTGCAGTTCCTTTAGAAATTGGGCAGTAGGGGCTGTACCCACTCCCCAGGACAAAACAGCCCCCAGGGGATAGCAGCCATGGATGGTGTCCCAGTCCTGGAGGTGGGGGTCTGAGAACAGGGTGCTAGCCATGTTGATTCCTTCTGAGGCTGGCAGGAGAACCTGCTCCCCACCTTTTGGCCAGCCGTGGTTCAAAAAGAAAATAGCTCCCTGCCATCAAGTCAATGCTGACTCACAGCAACCCAATGGAACAGGGTAGAGTTGCCCCTATGTGTTTCCGAGGCTGGAACCTTTCATAAGTAGACACATCCGCCTCCACACACAAGTGCACACACCTGGTTATATGCACATGCATACCAGCTCTTAGAAGAAGGTCTGGGTTGGGGCCATGCACCTCACTGGTCTTTGCTCCCAAATCAGAAAGAGGTTGTGTTTTGCAATCATCTCAGCTGAGGGGGCATGAAGCTCCCTTGCCCCAGAGTAACCCCAAGCATCCATCCAGGCTGACTGTATTCCTTGAGCCCTTCCTTCGTTCAACAAACTCTCCCACTGTTTGATCTGAGGCTTGTTCAGCTTTCGGATTCTCCTCTTGACCCCCACACCTTGGGGAATGTGGAAGGGTGGTTGGGAGGAAGCAGGTTAGTGACCCCGGAGCAGGCTAGGCGGTAGGGTGAGTAAGAGCAAGAATGGGGGGAGATGTTTGTGATGAGATGTTTGGGTGGCATCACGGAGGTCTGGTGTCCCGCGACCGGCGGGGCTGGACATGGACGGGCTGAAGCATGCTTAGAGGATGGTGGCTGGGAAGGGTCTAGAAAACCAACTGAGAGCTCTAGGTCAGTAAGCTGTGCCCTTGATCCAGAGAGGCCGAGGCCGCTGTACACACAAGAGGTGGGAGATGGCGCTAGAAAGGCGGCTGGGCTCAGACAGGAAAGGGCTGGACTGGCAGGCCAAGGAGGCAGGAATGCATTCTGTGTTCTACTGGCGGGGAGAGGAGGGTGGGGGAGTGGGTCAACAAGTTCAGAGCCAAACTGATGTGAGGGCCTGCTTAGACATGTCATGTGACCAGGAGCAAATGGAGTGGGGAGCAGGAGGTAGCCACTCAGAGAGGAAGCCATTTATTGGGGAGCTATTATCAATCGTGGGCTCAGACCTCAACCTTTGGGCAGGCGGGGCACCAATCCTTGCAGTTCTGGGGAGGAGCTGGACAACAGTGGCCCCAAGAAAACAAAACA